TGCATTCAGGCCTGACTCGAGGTTTTGAGCACTCAAGCGCTGAGCAGAGCGTGCAAGGTCAGTGCCTTCACGTATACATCAAACCAAGACCAACCCCTGAAATAAAAAGGCTGGGCAGTGATCTGAGAACCACACAAGACAGAAATGATCACTAGCATATTCTGAATGTCTCCCAGCTGCCAGGCACATCCCAAGGCTTTATATGCACTAGCGTACTTAGTCCTCAGTGTGCTCTCTGGAGGGAGGTGTATTAACATCATCATCTCCATTTTATAGATGAAGCCAAAGGACAGGTCTACCAAATAAAGTATAGAATTGCAGATGGACAATGAATATGTTTTTAGAATAAGTATATCTCAAATACGGTATGCATATTTGTTGATTATCTGCAATTAAATTAACAGGGTGCCTTCTTTTATTATTTGCTAAATAACAACCTGACTTCCATATGCAGACTTATCAAAAAAGTAAGGCCTCGGAATGAGAATGTGGTAAAGCTGGGCCTGGAAGCCAGAGACTTTCAAGTTGCATGCCATTGTGTAAATCCACACTGCCTCTGTTAAAGGTCAGAACTAGGGGGAGCCCAAGTGTCACAGACGGCGACAGGCACCTGGCTCATGGTGGATGGTAGTTTCAGGAATAGGCTAGTAGGGAGTCAGGCACCTCCCCAGCAGTTGATTTGACAACACAACTGGCTGTTTAGGAAAGCAGGAGAGAGTCATGCATTTAAGCAAAGGCTCTGCAGTGAGATAGTCCCTGTTTCCTAGTCTGGCTCTGCACTTAGCTGGCTTTCTTTGGGGAGGCTGCAAACTCCTCAAAGTCCCAGGGTCCTCACCTGGGCCCTCAGGATGACTGGTCCCCTTGTCTCATTTTCCGTCCCTTTCCTGTATTAACCTGTAAAGTTTGTGGAGGTAGGGACTGGGCCTAGCATATATGTGATGAAATGTTGCACATAGTAGGTGCTCAATAATTGCTTGATCGTTATGAATTGGCCAATGCTGGAGGAACTTTGGGAAAAAATAGCAGGAGTGTGAGTGTGGAGAGTCCTCATTTTATGTCTTAGATGGAATGTTTTAAGTTAAAAAATGTTATGAAGGTGACTTGTTTGGTTTTTAAATAAAACTTTAAAGGCAAATGTGTAAATTTCCTTCCTTCTTTTCAAATCATTTTCTATCACCTCAGGTCCTTACTTGGAAAGAAGTTGGTGAAATTGACATTCTCAGCAACTGTGCTGGAAAGAGATATTACAGAATTTGCTACAAGGGCACTTTTCTGAGGCATTGTGAGGCTCAAGTAACTGATAAGGCTATTTTCGGTCATTATCACATTCCTTTGGTCACTGCTACTCCGGTGGTCTCCTGCACCACGACTTTCCTCACACAGGAGGCTTACCCATGATGAGCTGTCAGCAAATCATTTACTGTTCTGTTGCTTTAAAGGAAGATAATAAACTTCCTGGCCAGCCAGAGGCCAGGGACCTCCCTGTAACTTTATCTCCCAAGGAACTCTAGAGGTGCCTAATCCATGTCACCCCCTTTGTTTAGAAGCTTGGCTCACGTGCCAGGCAGAGAATATGTCCTGGTATTCCATTTATAGCTCCATTTGAAATAGTCTGTCTGGGAAACTGATGTAAAATAGGTTCCCCATGTGAATCCAGCATTATTGGCCCCTCCAAGCCAAAAAAGAATGCCGAACAGAGTCGTTTCAAATCCATAGAGTCTGTTATTTGCAACCTATGTAGTGAAGGGCAAGGAAAATACAACAGGAAAGAAAAAGACGTCTGAAAAATGCAAATAACACGATACCAAAAATAAATGCGTATAGTCTGATGCCATTGACCTCAACAAGAAGAATTAAGAACTTTTCCCTTTGAAATAATCAGATTGTTTTGGTTACAGTCGAGTTGCTGTGTGATCCCTCTGTTCACATACTTTCTCCAGTACTTCAGACTTGTTGCACAAATCTGTTGAAGTTCGTGGCAGAATAAAAAGAACTAGGATGTTCAAATAAGAAAATCTGTTTCCTCTCCAACAGAATATTGGTTGCTCAAATGTAGTTAAGTTTCAAGGTTAAAAATACGTTTTTGTGCCAATGAGATAAGACTTCCATCTACAGATTTATCAAGCAGCCCAGATTAAATCTGGGTAGAAACACATGCCTTATGTCAGGATGACATATTTTGTTCCCTGAGTGAGAATTTATGCCTTAGTCTTAATTTTGGAAGAGGAGCAATTTTTTTTCAATGAGCTTTTCTGTGTTTTCTGTTTTCAGAATTGATCACAGAGTTGTTTCCTAAATTTAGTAAGGTACCACAGAAATAATTTTAAAAGTAACTCAGGGGCAATGAGTATTAATGGCTTGTTGATGCATTGAAAGGAAGTGGATGCTGCACTTGCCTTGGAAAGAAGGCCATTCCAGCACTTCCTCAAAAAGAAGGACGGACCCACGTCAGCAGCTCCGAAATGGCCTTATCCTTGCGGAAATGTAAAGTGATAGTCAAGATCTCATTTGTCATCACCACAAAATGTCAGAGGTGAAATAGACAGCCAAGTAGAGGATTTATCTCTTTCCTGAGCCAGAGGAAGGAAGCCTTTCGAGACATTTAGTATGTTTGGGAGATGAAGATAAAGGGAAGAACCCTCCTGCAGAACCAGCATCCAGGCCTCGGTTTTCGTGTGTTTTGCTTCTCTGGCCTCGAGACCTATCAGAAGGAAGTGCGTGAACCTTCAAGGAGTCCCCTCAGATTCCTTCTGTCCCGAGACTTTGCCACATCTGCACATAGCACAGGGTGATGGCATGAAACACACTGCAGATTTTGAATCCCGTTTGCCTGCTCATGTTTTATGAGTTACCCACTGTTTAAAAAGGGACCACAGAAAGGGTGTCATTTTAATTGCCTTTCATAAGCAGAAGTCTACTTTGACTGTGACACACTCATTGTTTATTTATGAAGCATTTAATAAAGTCCTTCTTTGTATTACTCTGCCAAGTCCTTTCACCGATATGAATGTTTTAAAATCTCGATTACAGTTTTGTGAAGGAGGTCTTTTTAATTTGACAGCTAAGAAGACTGAGGCATAAGCAGGAAGCAATTTGCCCGAACCAGTAATGATGGAGCTAGATTCCATCCTGAACCGGGGGAGCCTCTGGTCTCCTGGCTGTGGTCTGCCATTCATTACACCGGACAGGCTGACCTTGGTGACTATATCTTGGTCAAAGCCTTTTCTTGTCTATGGTGTGTCTGATTAATAACTTAGCATCAAGTTAGTTTTTGTGGGCTAGAAAGAGAAAAGCAAAGCTAGAAGTTCTTTCTGTTATCTCAGGATGTCTGTGAGAACTAGATGTGATCGTGACCACATTTGGCACTAAAAAAGATCTCAAAATCTGGCAGTCTCGGTTAATCACTTGATTCTGATGCAAAAGACTCCCAGAAACTTGCAGTGCTAATGGGCAGGAGTCAAAGTGAGAATAGAGGAGTTAACAGAGAGAAGGGCTAGGGTATCCTAGGTCTCAAAACTTGACCTTTCCAGTGGAAGGAGCATAAGGCAGGCATGCACTGGGAGGGCTGAAGGGAACTACCAATCAAAAGGTAAACTAGAAGCACATTTGGAGGCTCTCTCTCTTTGACAAGCTCTGCTCCAGGCATTGGGGCAGCAGAGAAAGGAAGCAAGTTTTGGTGCCAGATAGCCCTGAACTTGAACTTGCTTTATCATTTACCAGCTCAAAAGAAACTGGCAAGAAACAACCTTCAAATCTCTGACTCCTTATAGGTAAGATACAGATAAAAATGCCTACCTCAAATATTTGTTTTAGACATTAAATTAGATAATACAGACCAAGTATCTCTCTGGTAACTAATGTCAGCAGTGTTGAGCAAATGGAAGCTATTATTTAATCATTTGTTAAAAAAACCAGGAGTCAAGATTGCACATACAATGTGGGCTCAACTATTTAGAAGCCCTGTGGAAGAAAAGACCAGAGAAATAAGACAAACTACTTAGGATTAACTATGTGTGACTGATCACATGTTGCTGTATTTTCTTTTTTGATACCGTTCCTAACTTTACAAGCTGTATACAATTTGCTTGTGTTATATTAATCAGAAAAACCAAAGCAAAAGAGAACGATCTTTCCTCTTAAGTGGATTCTTAAGAAGGTGTTTTTAATCACATCTCAGTAGATGGAAAACAAATGGTAAATTCATGAATTGAAATGCCTGATTTTTTTTAACCATCCAAGAAAAAAAGGGATTTCACATAGTTTGCATGTCCTAACAAAGACTCAGTCCCTACTTGAGTGTTACCATCTTTAACCAGGACAAGGCTCAATTTCAGTTAACAAGTGCTATGCTTGACTGCAGGAGTCCAACCATAACATCGACTCAGGCTTGGCTAGTGGTTTTTCTTACAGTGGAACCTGCTGATTATAGAGTTTGATATCACATCCTAAGACTTACATATTTAGAAGGCTTAATGATTATTTTGATTGTCAAACAATAACTACAGTCTTTGAGATATTGTAATAAAAATTTTTTGTAAAGGAAATCGTATTTGGAGTTATAATAGCCCAACATTACTGCCTCTTTGTGGTCAGTTACCTTTTTTAATAAAATGGATATCATTTCAATTGTCCCCCCTGCCCTTTTTTTTCCCAAGAAAGAAATATTTTAATATATGAAGATGTCAAATATTCTCAAATAATTCCAAGAATTCACCAGAATCTTTACAGGGTAGTTTTGTGCCTCTGTTTTGAATTTCAATTGTTCCCTTTTCCTGACTTGTTAAGATATTCTCTTAAAGAGAGATCCCTAACTGGAGGAAAGCAGATTTCTTTATAAAAGCTGACAGAGTAAGAATGATTTTCTACATGTAGACTGAAATGGAACTTTTTAGAGAAAGGTGCTGGTGTTCTCCTTTTGTCAGGCTTCCTTCTCAATTTACTATGAAATTGGAGGTCAAGAAACAAGTAACACAGTCCAAGAAAAGTGTGGTGCCACTTACCCATGCAGTCTGGGCCCCAGTGGCCTGGACAACACTGGGGCTGGAGATAGTCCTTCCTACAGATATGACGGCATCCCGGGAGAGCCAGTGACAGTGTTCTGACCTCAAAGGTATACCTTTGCGGGGAAAGACAGGACGTTAACCCATGATCAGAGCAATCTAGTTAAGTATTAAGAAAGACCTAAATAAAAATCTAAGAATATCCCACTGTCCAGAGTTAACTGAGTGGTCAACTGTCACATATACCAATTCTAGGTCAATTAATGTTGGGAAACTTCTATTAAAAGTGATGATTTTGGTTTTAGAATATATTGTGGTCATGTTAAGCAAAAGTGGATTTAAAATAGTATGATATAACAGTGTTAAGATTTCATCTCATACACAGTAAGAAATAGTATGTACTAATCCTTCATCTCTGAATTAAAAATGAATTCATTGAGTATTAACTTCTAAATTAGTAGAGTGAGTAGATAAATTTTGTTTACACTTGAGTTGCATGGCTGCATGCGTTAGCTGGTAAGTAGAACTGCTTGTTAGTTTTTGTGAAGATTAGCCTTGAATTATGAAAGTTTTGAATCAGAAGAGGGTTCAGGAATATAATGCTCACACAAAATGCATGAAGCTGTAATTCATTTGTCTCCCTTCCTTGGGTTCTAATTAGTTGTAGGATCTATAGGATCTATAGCTGGTTAGTAAGGTGACTGTCAGACCCAAGGCTTTTTAGTCCATGTTCTCACCAGGACACTTTCCAAATGAAACAAAACCCAGATTTTCAAAATAAAGAAGGGCAAGATAAAGGGAGACTGTTTATGTGCAATGCAGTGTAGTCTACTTGCATTAAAATGTGTATCAGTAACAATCTATGTTTTAGACTTAAGGTTATAGTTATGAGTTACCTAAGTTTGGGCTCAATGTAGTCTCAAAGTCAGAGAAAATCATGGAAATACATTGTAGTTTTTGAGATGGGATGTTTCAGTTTGGATTCACAACCCCTTACATTGCGAAGCTCAAGCATACTTATATTCTCATAATGAGTACCTGCAATCGCGAACCCCTACTGTGCCATTGGTGATCTTGGTGTAACCATCTGGGCAGTTCATTCCAACACTGAGTGAACAGGATCGACACTCAGTTCTAATTGTAAGGAGAGATTTCTTATCACATCTTTTTGTCTGTGAAAACATAAAAAAAATTGTCAAGTTGCACTAGTAGAACCTCAGTTAGCCAATCTTCTCCATTAGCTTCATGGCAATGGAATGACAGGATGGCAATGAAGTTGATTGTTTATGACTGGTGGTGAGCTGCTTGCAATCGTATCTGGAAAGAGCATTGGCAACAACAAGCAATGTCTGCCATGGCTGTGGTGAGGGAAGGGGATGCTTGTACTACCCATTTGCCATCACTGATCTAAAGTCTGGAGTCCAGCAAGGGAAGGTATGTCACTATATACACATATCCACACGAGGACCCTGAAGTATGTTGCAGAGTATGCAAATGGAAGATTGTTACAGGAGGTTATTCAAGGTCAGTAGGTCATAGATCAACAGGTGTCAAAGCTATTCTTTCAGCACTTATTCCACAGGTGTTAAATGCTCTGAAGCTTACAGTCTGGATGCTAAATGCTTCTCTGAAGCATTTATTTGCTGCTCCAAAGATGTTTGCAATCTTTTGATTATATACAGTTAGAATGCAGGCTCTGTAAGGGCAGTGATTTTTTTCTGTTTTGTTCTCTGCTGCACTCCAAACACCTAGAATTGTGTCTGGCACAAAGTGGTGCTCAGTAAATACTTGCTGATTGAATGAATGAATTGTAGGAAATCAGACAGACACAGTAGAAGCCTTCTCCTAGCAACATCAGGTGGCAGACAATTAACTGCTACAATGAATAATGCAGACCCACTTTGACCCTGTCATCACGATCTCTCCTTGTTCGCAATGCTGGTGCTCATCCTACCAAACCCTCCCTTTTTCAAGTTTCCTTCATCTCCCCATTAAGCTTAAGAAGAAGCAGATTCGTACAAGGAAGAGAGCCTGAACTTGGGATTCAAAAGACCTAAGCTTGGAATCAAGCTCTGTGTCTTGCTAAGTGTACAGTCTTAAATGGATATCTTCAACTTTGTCATCACCTGTAAAAGAGAAGATATTGATAACAAATCTCCAGGTTACCGAGACCTTTAAATGATGTCATGTGCAAATTGCCTGCCCTGCACCTGGAACATGGCAGGCAGTGAACGCTAGCTCCTGCAAGGCTTCTCTCTCCCCACCCCTTGTTTTCCTTGTTGCCTCTCCTGACAGGAATGCTCTTTCCCTCCCCCTTGGCTACCCAAGCCTCATATCCTTCAAGGCCCTGTTTAACACCTCCACTTGCACAAATTCACACTCATCTCTCTCTCTCCTTTTTGTTTTTTTCAACTTCTACTCTTCCTGTGGTTGGCCAGTGGAGCACATTCTGTTGTCTTTGCTTGCCATTTAAAAACCCTTTCTTTTTAAACAAGAGGACCACCACTCTTATTTCTTAGTTATCCCATGGGCCCAGTACCAGGTTAGGGGTGTTGGGAGTGTCACAACTACTTTACGTTTATCGAAATATGAGAAGAAACCTTCCGTTTACAGAGCAATTTATGGCTATGCATACTTCCGAAGGCATCATCTTATTTGATCTCGGCCAGCCTTAAGGTAAGTAGGGAAAATATCATCCTCATTTTGAGGGGAAGGGAGGCTCAGTGACTTGCCCAAGGTCACACTGTAATTAGTGGTCTTCCAATTCCTTGATTAGTCATTTCTCATCCCTGTACACCGTAGAATGGTGTATAGAAAAATGAAATCTCAGTTTTTCCTGGCAGCTTTCATTTTTTAAAATTTTATTATTATTTTTAAGGTATTATTGATATATACACTTATGAAGGTTTCACATGGAAAAACAATGTGGTTATTACATTCACCCATGTTATTGTGTCCCCCCCAAACCCCATTACAGTCACTGCCCTTCAGTGTAGTAAGGAGTCAGCTTTCAAAAAAATAGCACTGGAATGCTCTTCATGGAATAATAATAAAAGCCACCCTTAGCTATAGTGTGAATTAACTCCCTTTAATAGTCATGGCATTGCTAGGTTTTTTAAAGTAGGATTTTCTTTACATTAGGGTTTCCCATTTGGATAAGCACATGAGATGGCATAACTTTGTCTTTTCTTTTCTTAGTGTGTTAGATTTAAAACTATCTTTTCAACAAACTCCTTAACCTTCCAGTTCACCTTTTTGAATGGAAAGGCTCATTCTGTCTCTCATGAAGGCCTCTCTGAAAGTGAACTCAGCTTTAAACATCAGTCAAGGCCTGATTTCTGTGCTAACAGCAAGCACTCAACGATGAAGGTGATGGTGAATCGAATTGCTGCTGTTTGTGGGCCCTGTCTGGGGAGACACTGGTAACTTGCTCAGGTTGGACAGCTGGTAAGCTCTGGAGCACAAGGTCTAGTCCTCAGAAATATCTGCTAAACAAACAAATGACACCAGAATTCAAACTCACTGTTCTCCAGCCTCAGAGCTGGGGCTTCAACTATTATGCCATCTTCCAGTGGTTTCGTGAAAAGCATTATCAGGGTATCATCAACAGGAGTAAAGTGGATATTGATAAAAATTTGCCTGGCACAGATGCAGAATCATATTTTAAGTTTTATTAATAGAGCAGGAATCCTATCTAGTGAAGTGCGTTTTAAATAAATCACTTGGATTGCCTCTCTCATACCCCTCTTTTCAGCTGAGTTTGCTGTACATCTGATATCAAGTTGCTCTTTTAAGACAACTCATGTGAGCCTGCCCGAGCAGCTGGCATGCTGATATGCTTCATCAGGGCTACTGACATGACTGCTGTGGGTACTTTTACTAGCTTATGGAAGGTAGAAGGGATGAGTTCCTGATGCATTTTGTAATACTGTGTTCCTTAACCAGATCACCCAGCGTGGAATTCCCCAGAACATTTCTCTACTCATCTCTCTACAGCCATTGTCATTTTCTACATTCAGAATGATGCAGTGGGAGGTATTTCCAGTGATGAGACTATTAAAACAAAAGAAAACAGAATAACAGGATGCCAAAATCAGCCATGGAAAGAGGAATGTTAGCGCTAAAGCCAGAGAACCTAACAAGGGTGGTACAGAAAACCAAGTGCGCTAGCACACCTTCCGAAAGGTGGTGTATCACCGTTAGGATTCTGTTCTCCACAATCGTCCAGATAAGTACTCTTGACCCCTGGCAACATAGGAAAGCCGAAAGCTTTTGAACACATCGTGAAAATTAACAAATCAAAGGAAATGCAAGTCTCATCTTACCTGCTCCGTAGCTTCAGTCAGGGAGCAGACATTTTGCACAACCAATCCGAGAAAAAGAAGTAATACATTTTGTAGCATGATGAGGAAATCCTTGCTCCTTCTGCTTGCTGGGCACCTGTCAGAACTATTTTGTTATTTTAATTCAATCTGATGAGCTCTTCGTGAATTCTTTCTCATTTCAGTGTTTGCTTGTAAATCCTTTCCTTTTCCTGGATTGAACCAGATGATATGTGAGATCTGCCTGTAGGCAGGGACAATGGCAAAGGCAGGGGTCGTGGTGAAAGCTGGCCAGTTGCAACTGTATATATGTCCAGGATGAATGGCAGGATTTCCTGAAGGGGCTGAGGCAGAGAGGTGATCTGGAGTTTTTGTGCCTCGTAAAACTTGCAAGAACATGCTCCTGCCTCCCACGGCTCTGCCCATCCCACATCTGGTCCTGTCCGCTCCTGGACCCACAGCCCAGCCAACATTTTTGCAGCCACACTATGCAAAACCGCAAGCCCCTCTATCTGGCTGCAGAGGGCCAAGCTTGCTGTCAGGTAGTATCTGTGGCAGTGCCTATGTATGGATATGTCCCACAGAAGAAAAGTTGCAGAAGCTTGGGTCTGACTTGGAGGAGGTAGCAGCCTCATCAGGTGCGGTTAGCAATCTACTGCAATAAAAGGTCTGCTGATGCTCCTCTTTTCCCCTCTTCCATGTCATGTCAGTAGCCAGTAACAGAGTCCATAGGTCTCATTTTACTCTTCAGTGCCTGGACCTAATGCCACCTCTTCAGGGAAGCCTCCCTGTTCTGCCCCTCTACCACCATCTTGGAGACCCTCCCAGCATTTTGCACATAAAGCTCCTAGAGCCCAGTCACACCCATCACAAGTCATCTGACTCTGTGTCATCTCCAATGCCCTCATTCCTTGAGGACAGGGCCAAGCCTTTCTCTTCTCTGCACCCTTAGCAGCCTAAAGCAGAGACCTGCATTTAAAAATAATAAAAACAAAGACTAATAATGAACATTCGTTGAAAACTTGCTATGTGCTAGTCCTTATTCTAGACCTATCCACAGATTAACTTGCTTAATCCTCACAACTCTTGGTGAAATAGTTAGGATTGTTCTGTCCATTTTACAGGGGAGGAGAATGAGCCAGAGAGTTTAGGCTACTTCCCAAGGTCACACAGCTAGTAGGTGGAGATCCAGTTCTTAAACTGTGCAGCTCCAGGGCCAGTGGTGTTAATCACTACCCTCTATTGCCTAAAACAGTATATTTTAATGCATAAATAAATAGCGGGTGGTGTACCAGTTCCAGTGACAAAATGGAAAAGTGTCAGCCCCAGAACCAAAAAGGATAAAGTATGGATTTATCAACAAGACAGGCAGATGAGGGTATGTCTTATAACAGTGAGTTAATTGGGAGATTAGGCAGTTAGAGAGACTAGTTTTGGTGAATTAATCCTCTCTCTGCAAAGTCTTTATTTGAATTTTTGAAACATGGTATTGATCAAAAATTTAAAAAACTTCCAATACAAATAGGCCCTCCAGTGGCTAACCCAGAGGTCTGAATGAGGAGATACCAGGCGTGGAAGTTCTTAAAATCCCTTGGTTTGGTATGTTTCAACTCTGGCTAAGAATCCTGGAGGATCTTAGAAAAAACCCCTCCAATATACAGGGGGCGCTACTCCAGAACAATCAAGTCAGAACTTCTGAGAGTGGGGCACAGAAGGAGGATTTTTCAAAGTTTCCTGGGTGATTCCACTTGCATGGGATGATTGCTCAAGGTAAAAGGAACTATATTGTATGAAGCCAGTGAGATTTTGAGGTTTATCTGTTAGAGCAGGTGTGTTACCTTAACTTTTTTTTTACACCAGGGACAGAAGTTGGAAACTTCTTTCCGATTCTTTTCTCTCTGTAGGATATGGATAAATACCTGGGACTTGGTGAAGTAATAAAGTGAACCCATACTTCTATTTTCTAGATTGTTCTGGGAGATGCTGCAGGAGGTGCTGGGGAAGAATTCTCAGGTAATTTGTCAAACCCTGCCTCTGGTGTCCCTTTCTTATGCGTATAAACAAGCTCATTCACCCACAAAAGGTTCTGAGAAGTTCTGCAGCAAAACATGATATTGCAAAATCAAACAAAAGCTGTTCAACTTCACTTAAAACAGTATTCTCCAAATGTTTTAGATTGAGAGATGCTCTCTGCCTTTGCCGATTAACTTTAGCAAACTTCCAGATACGGGGTTCTGTTGACCTCTCTTAAGGAAATACTGTCCTAGACTTTAGCAGGTTGAATAGTCTATTTTTAAACTGTCAGGGATTAGAAGGTAACCTGCCAGTGGCCATGAGGACCCCACAGTCTAGGACTTGTTCATACACTTTATTAATAAGTTGCATTTTAAACAAAATACATGTACCTTACATGACTTTGTTTAGAACTTGTTGAAATAGTTTCGTTAATTAATTTTATTTCTGTTGGGCTCATTTGACTCCTTTGAACAGAGCTTCCTCACGTTATTTCAAACTCCTGCCACCACTTCCCCCAAAGGCAGAGTGCTGAGAATGGTGCCTAGCGCAGAGAGCATGCTCAATCTCGCTTAATCATTTTTATTGCATCTTTAAAATATGCCAATGTCATGAACAGCAGTAACAAATCTGTACCTTAGCCCAGTGTAGCTCTGTGCTGGGTGTGGATTTCCTCCGTCCCGAGCTGCCAGGGTTCTGCTGATCGGGGTCTCTGACGCGTAGGGCTGGCCCTTTCTTGACTGCCCTCCGTACGCCTTTTTGCGGATTGTTATGATCTCTGCCTCTAACCATTCAAAGTTGGTTTGAGGTAAAGGTTTTCCAGCTGCGTTTCACAGGCAGTTTGTTCTCTTCAATATCCCTTAATATGCTGTCAGTCAAGACCTGGAGCGGCCTTCCTCTGCTCAGGGCCGCCCTTTCGCTCTCTCACTGCCTCCTCCTTGGGTCCTCCTTGATTAGCACTTGCCTCCTGTGCCCCTGTGATCTGCCTTCTGCAGTGGCAACTAAGAGAGTCTTTTTTTGGGCATGAGGATTAATTTCCTGCTGGGAATCTGCAGAGACTTTTCCACATTGGAAAAGGCAGAAGAGGGGTAGGGCATTTCCAGGGGAGCACGGTTATGCATCCCCTGTGGCCGCAGGAGTCTGGGGCTAGCTGCTCCCTTCTCTGCATTGTGCTGGTTACTGATATTTTTGTCCTTGGTCATTCTGAATAATAAAGCACGTGTGCTTTGAGCAGCTTGTAAAAAGGGGAGTTCGTGTTTACCACCACCACCATCCTCACAAACTCCCGCATAGCTTTTACATGTGCCAGACACTTTTTAACTCTTTAACTCCACTTAATCTTCACCACAAGCTATGACATAGGTATTATGCTCTTATTACTATCCCCATTTTGCAGAGGAGGGGACAGAGGCAAAGGGAGATTAACTGGTCGAAGGGCCCAGGCTACTAAATGGTGGAGCAGGGATTTGAACCCAGGAAGTGTGGAGCTGGAGGTTGATGCTGAGTTGCTCACATGAGGTGCTTTGGTTCTTGAATCTTGAGCAAGGTCCTCCTGGTGCTTGTGGGATGGCTGACAGAGGTAGTGTTTATGCTTCCAAAGGAAAACAAACCTGTTTATGTGGGGATCAATAGTTTCTTTTTGCTGTTTTTGCAGGAAAAAACAAAGGCAAACAATTAGGATCTAAAGTTAATTTTTAGGTTACAATTTAATTTCCATTCTCTTAACATTTTTTTCTAGACCAAAGAAGAAAAAGGCCACAGAGGAGCAGCTAGGTTTTGATCTCCCTTGAGTATCAATCTAGAAAATTGAAAAAGTTGCTTTAATTGTTTCAGTAGATCCAATAGCATCTAGAATTTTACCAAATGAAAACAGTGTTTTGGGAAGTAAACATTTAGAAAAGGGGAAACAATAGTTAAGTCCTTGAAAACTTCCGGTGGCAGAAATCACTGGGAACTGTTTGGAAATGCCTCCCACCCCTTTGCAAACCCCTCTGTGCCTAATGTGGTCCTTGACAAAATTTAGATTCTGGCTGACATGGAACAAAAAGAACTAACAAAACTGGCTTTCAAAGCCTCAGTTCACAATTTCAAGTAGTATTAAAGGCAGTTTCCTAGGAAGAGATGGATTTTTCTGCCCTGGCTTTTGGATTTCATGCTGAGTAAGCATCTTCAGTGGAACCCAGTTTTATTATACAAATAGTTTGGTGTTAGAGCCACCGGCAGATTTTTGTCTACTCATTGGGCAAAATTCTTAGCACCTGAAACATCCTGGCTGGAGTGCAAAACACTATCTTTTTTCCGTCATATCTCATTGCAATATCGAAACAATACAACAGCTATTTCTATTTTAAACATAAAATTACTAGAAAGGAGTCCACATTCTCCTTTACTCAAAAAATATCTCTTGTGCTGATATTATGAACAACATTGAATTCTTTTTTTCTTTGTTCTTATCCCTTCTCTCCCTTGGGTAAAAATAGCTTGTGTTTTTCTAGATCAATGGACTTAACAAATTACACTGTGAGTAGTCTATAGTTTTCTATCATGTTTTGAAATAACCTCTGTTTAAAAGTCTTCAAATGAAAGTCTAAATGATATATTTCATTTGGCCTGATTTGTATAGGTAGCTGTCTCAAATACCCACCTAGACTTCGATTGTGTAGATAGTGTTACATCAATAGGTCAGATCTATCTAACACGGTGATTTTTTTTCTTTATTGCTATCACACTGCCATTTTACTTACCCATTCATTCATTCAACATTTGTTCATGGAATGCCAGACATGGCTCTGGGTCTGCGGACATAGAAGTGGATGAGCCACATTGCATTGGGCATTATAGCTTCTCTCATAGTTTTGCCCAAATTATCTCACTTAAGCTTTATTGCAACCTTGTGAAACAGACTGGGCAGAGAGAGTCATACCCTGAGTTGGTAGATGTGAAAATGGAGGCATAATGGAATTGACTGATTTATTCAGTCATTAAAGTATGAAGTAGTAATAGATGCCAGGTAATCTTACTGTAGTCACATGCTCTGCCCTTGATGGCAGGCCACCATGCTGATATGTGATGCCTGGAAAAATGAATGGGTCCTCTGTGGGTCACTGTGGCCCATCTAATTCACTTATTAAAATGCTGAACTGGATTGGATGCTATTTGTGCTCACACTGAGACAAAGCCATGGCTGCAGAAGTCCTGAAGAGCAAACACAAAGAATACGATTGAGATTCATACATGGCCCAGAACTGACTGAGTGCTGGGTCACTGATTCCCAGTGGTCTGTTGCATGGTGTACTGGTTTTGTCTGTGGCGTAGCATAACATATTAGATGGTTGGGGCTTCCCAGTCTGTGTAAAAGGACTGAGCCATGCTCTGGGAACAGGTACCACACCAGCTCTACGGAGCACATGGTGAAGCATACACCTGCCAGTCATCTCTCCATCTTAGTGACTTGTCTAGGTCTGGAATGCTCTTCCCCCTAAGAGCCACTTGGCCAACTCCCTCATTTTATTCAAGCCCTGTGTTCAAATCCACTCTCCCCATGAGCGCTCTGCAGACTATACTATTGAAAATTGCCACATGCCTCTCTCCAACCCTGGTACTGCTGCTTGCTTGTATCCTGATCTTATTGCTTTTCCTCGGCATGTATCACTAAGTTCCTCTACAGTTCATGTGCTTATGTTCACTGTTGTCTGTCTCCCCAGTTAGAATATATGCTCATTAAGGGCAGGGGTTTTCATCTGTTTAGTTAACTGATTTATCTCAAGTGTCTGCAAGAGTGCTGGATATATGTAAGTACTCGATACAAGTGACTGACAGAATATCCCATGGGAAGTGAGATTTTCTCAGCTATAGAGATGAGCAGATTAGATTATTCAAGTAAAATATCTCTATCCTCAAAACAATTTTATTAAAACATACTTTCATTTAAACAAAAATTCCCTGAGCCACCTACAGAATCAGTTCTTTCTGCTCTTGATGCCGCTGAGCTCTGCCATCCTAAAATCTCCTTGCTTCTTGGTGAGTTTTTTCATATCTTCCTCTGTTGGATTATTTTTTGATGTCTGGGAAATCAAATTCTTGCAACTGTGTTAAGTATTTTTCTATTTCTTACAAACGAAGTGATTTTCATCCACAAAGTCCCAGACTCTTTCCGTATACGATGGATATTGGTTCAGAAAAGAGACTTGGTTCCGTACATACAAGAGTCTGGCTCTAATTCTGCCTCAGAGTTCTCATCCTGATCTTGAGCAAGTCTTTTAACCTATGGGATAAAATATGGGGGCAGGACGACATGATGTCCGCGCTCTCCTCCATGTTTACAGGACTGTGAAATATTTCTTTCCATGCCTGTCACTCTAAGGGGATTTCTTCCTCTCCAAACTTCCCTAAACCTTCAGATTTTTGGTGGTTGGCTTGACATGCTGGGTGCATCCTAAAGGAATAGAGGTAAATTATTTTCTCTCTGAAGTAATCCAAAATTGCTCCAATCTTGCAAATTACTTTCTTAGAGGAAACAGAAACATTCTAAGATTTTGAGGAAAGGGTGGTGGGATATAGTCAAGCTAAGATTTCTTGCCATGGTGGTATTTTGCTCAAATTATTTCATTAGCGTTCAGAGGCAGATACCAGGTTGAACCAGGGCTCAAGAGATTATGGGTTTGGGCTGAAATGTTAGGTCTCTAGGTAGCACATCCATGGGGGTTCAGGCATTGCCTCTCTGCAGTGCCTCCCAGCCCACAGAAAGGGCTTAACTAACAGATGGGTAAATGTCCATGCCTTCACCTGGCCCCGAACACCCCTCCTGGTTCCCCTCCATCATGCTTAGAGAGGGTGAATCAATGCCCCCGGGTGTTATTAGGAACTGACAGGGCAAACGGGCTTCCTGCACACTCATCAGATCCTGGCCTTTTTAGGAGTCAGCTTTCCCAAGCCGGGGATGTGTCCAAACACGTGTATCCCTGTGCTCCTGACCCTTTCCTTTTCCTTTGTTAGTTGAAATCTTTCCATGCAGCCAACATTCTTTTTTTTTTTTTTGTGATTTTGTTTTTCCTTTTTGTGGAGACCAGTCAGCAGGTCCTGCTTCAGGCAAAACTGTAAAGTAGGCAAAGTTTCTCTCCAGCTTCCTCCCTACTTCCCTTCCTGCCTTCCCCTTCAGTCATTCCATCAACCAGAGGCCAGGCCACCTTTCTGGGTAGGATGTCATTTCATGGTGACATTCTAATTCCTAATTAGCCTTCATTGTTCATTAATTCATTATTTGGTATTGACATCATAATTTTTGGTATTTAATGATCGTAGTGAACATTTATCCACCCAACCGCTCAAGTCACTTTTGTTTCTTCTCTTTGCCTCACTGCTGATGCCGCAATTCCTATTCTCCCTCCAGTAGAATCCTATTACGAATCTGACCACTTTTCTTTGTCACCTGGAATCAGGCCGCCGCAATCTCTCGCTCACATCATCACAGTCGCAGAAGAGCGTTCAGCCTGACCTCCCTCCTTCCGACCTGCCCCCACCTGAATCTATTTCTCAAATAGCAGAGGGTTCTTTCAAACTTAAGTCAGATCAAGCGTTCCCAGCTTAAAACTCTTGCGTAACTTGCCATCGCACTTTCAGTCAAGCCCCCGGCATCGTGCTGGCTTCGGGTCCCACCGGGTCCTGGCTCTGGCCTTCCCTCTGGCTGCATCCTGAGGCTTTCTGGAAGGCACTGTGCTCGCCCAGCCTGCCTGCATT